CTACTTAAATACCTGGATAGAAGTAAAGCCAGGTACAAATCTTGGATGAGGTAAGGTATGGTTTAGAGCAACTTCTCATCCTCATCAAATAGCTTGTGTCACTGAGCTCACTCCCATCAGCAAGGTAAAGCTAGATGGGAAAGCCAAGCTGGCACCCTTCACCCAAGATTAAGGAAATGAAATTGGGTGGGTGGAGGGACCAGAAGAATGTCAGTTTAAGGCAACAGGCAGCCGTAGAAGGCAGCTGATACGCCTATATGGCAATTCAGCAGCTAAATCTCCACTCTGCTGTGATCTACAGTGACAGACTTCCACTGGCCATGTCACAAACCGCTGGTGATCTGGGTTTATCCCTGAAACAACCTACTTAATTACTACATTTGCATACATATTGTAATAAAGAACTAAAATAAAAGGGTGATTTTCAGGTTTAAAATTTCCAAACTACAGTTCTATTTTCTGTGATCTTTGCCTCTGCATTTATAGTCCATCAAGGAAGGACCAAGTCTACTTTGTTTCGGCCTTATTAGCCCAGGTTGAGAAACTGGTAAAGCCAAGCACTGTTTTGGTTCTGGTCTGTGGATCCAATTCAAGAGCTGCCTCAGTTACTGATTTTGTTCTATATTCCTTGTATTTAGAAAATAAAATCAATAAAATATTTATTACATTAGTTTAAGCATGTATACATTTACAAGAGCCTGAAAAATTGCTGGCACTTTCCATGATATAGTGATTTTTGTAGAATAGGCTCAGAATGTATAATGGCTCATGTTATAGAGGAAAAAGTCAACAATTTAACATAATTGTCCATTTTTCATTATTTAGAGGTTGTAGGAGTGAGACAGAGAGATAAGTAATGCAAGTATTTCTTCCTCTTCTGGTTTCAGAGATAATAGGTCCAGAAGTGATTTTGAAAAAGTAAAAGCACTTATAAATGTCAGACTTTGTGATTATTGTCATTTTTAGTAATCAGGATTGAGGTCTGGAATGGCTTAAATATTCCACTTGCCTAGTTACCAAGGTAGTTGAAAATGAACCTGATTTTTAAGGAAACATAATCACAGGCAACCAGATTCACATTACTTATTGGGTGGGTAGATGCAATAAATTGCTGTCTGCATTATTATCACAAGAGGTGACCCTAAAGGTCAGCAGAGATTTGTGACAGCATTAGCTGTGTGACCTTCTCAAAGTCACCAGTATCTCTGAGTCTCACTTTCTCTGTGAAGTGATGGTATGTTCAACAGTCAGCTGTCATATTAACTGGGGACAGGATACAATAAAGAATTTTAATTCTCAAGCCATTTTGCTAATACAGTAAAATTTCACTGATTTGAGCAGAGGGGAAGAATTGTCTGAATCCGTAAAGCAAGTCCCGAATTACAAAATGGGTTTGAAGAATGACAGTCTTATTACTTTAAGACTATTTTGTAATTCAAACTGACTATATTGCCTTAGTGGTGGTCCTTGTGAGAACTATTTTAGCAGGTAAATTTGTAATGAATATGATTATATCTAATAAAGTGCTTCCAATATTTGAAAAGGGGTTTGTTCTCTTAAGGAAAAACCCCATTGACTGACTAGTCTAAACTCTTTATTTGCTTAACAAATCTCTCTCGTCTCCATTTCTTTCTTTTTTTTTTTTGGTACCGGGGATCAAACTCGGGACCTTGCGCTTGCGAGGCAGGCGGCAGAACCACTGAGCTAAATCTCCGGCCCTCTTGTCTCCATTTCCAATAATATGAAGTCAATTTATAGACTGGTCCCGGTTTAGCTTATCACAAATTATTTAGAGGGATCCAAATCCACAAGGTTTCACTGTCATTTCTACCTCTGTCTCCATTAATTTGTATTTACCATCACCACTAAGTAGTGGTAGAACAGAGTCAAGTTCCTCTGTTGCCCCATTTTCTTGCTCACTCTCAGAAAACAGCAGGTAGTGAGAAGGAAGATGACAAAGGTAAGCTCCTTGGTAATCCAGAAAAGGAATTAGCAAGTGTTGGGTATGATTCACTGATCATACTATTATCCATAGTTGAAAAAAAGGTTGACTTATTTCAAAGGTTGACTGAGGGAATGGCCAAGAAAAGTGACCTGAAAAATGCCCGGCAGGTAGCAATATGGTCAAAAAAGTTGCAAATGTTTAGGATTTACTGAAACACTATTTGCATATCAAAATTCAGATAATCTGGAAATTGTGAGCTGGCAATAAAATTACTTGATAAAACATTTTGCAGCAGTGCTAGCTGAGAAAAAAAGGAGCTCCGTTGCTGGTTGTAATTAGCAAATAGGTGAGCTAACATTTTGGGGTCTTCAGGATACCAAAATATCTGAATGAAAAGTAAAATATAAGTCAGATATGTGCAGGTTTTGTTTATATACTATCAAACATCTGGTTATTTGAAAACCTCTGGGCACTTGACATCATGCGGATTATTTCGAGTCATCTTGATACAGTCCCTGGGTTCTTTTTACTATGCTGAGCATGAATGATGAGTTCATGAGAGCAACGTATCCAATCCAGCTCAATTTTCATTCTGCAGCTCACTTCAGTGGTATAATTAGCTTCTTGGTGGCCTGCTAATAACATGAGAAAAAGACTGGGAAGAAGGTGCTAAGTATCACGTTAGCCATTGTAAAAATCAAATGAACTGAAAACTTGGATAAATTGTCAATGTCATCAGTTCACATTGGTGAGAAAAGAAGCTACTGCTTTTTGACACATAGCAAAACCTTGATTAATTGAAATCTGTAAAGAATGATGGAATTTTCAGTAAGAATACCCATTTTGTTTTATTCTTGGCTAATGACATGATTTCTTAAAATGCTTGTATCCACTTTCTTGCCTCAGGGAAGCAGCCTCTAAGGTTTGTGGCTCAATCCAGATGGAGAGAAGTTATAGGAGAAAGAGCTGAATGTGATCTAACCACAGGTTATCTCTTGGCAAGTGATTAAAAACATCAATTCCTTGAGATCTTCTTTTTTTGGGTACTATTGATGCTTTCTCATCAATGTGAAGTTCTGAGGGGGATAATTCGGTTAGTTGAGGTACTGGTTATATGAGTTCTTGTTAATCAAGGTTTTACAATAAAAGGCTTTGCTAATAACTGATAAGATTATGAGCTGAAGTCAGTTGTTTCTAAATTTATTTATTTGAGAGTGCTCTGAATCAGTGTTTCCAAACTTGTATTATACTGCAGACTGGCAAACTAACTTTTGCATCAGGATCCTGAGGGATGGAGAGGAAAAGAGAAGAGCAGAGGTACAACCATTGTGTCTGAAGGAGAAAAGTTTTGGCTTGCCTGTCTGTTGCTCTGTGGTTGGAAACACTTGTTCACCTTAAGATGCCCATAGTATCTTGATCGTATGAGAGCTGATGTCACATGCTTCAATATTCTCACACTCTCCAGGCCACGGAGAATTCTGTTTTCAGGTCCTCTCCTGCACTTACCCAGTGTGTCTTTCCATGACTTGATGTCTTGGCTTTTGAGGGAGCCCTGATTTCTTGTTGCTTGGATGATGGCTACTCATTCATTCTAGACCCAAAGAGTGTTAAGAACCAAAGGAAGGCCAAGTAAGATGAGTTTTCTCATGATGGCAGCCTGGATAAGTTAGACCTACCTGAACCAAGAACATGGCTAAGGAGAAGCCAAATCAAGCATTCACACACATAATACCACAGTTAGGTGACACACTTATTTAAATACACAAGATATCTTTGAAAAGTCTCTATATTTGATGACCTATTGAAGAAAGACCCCATTTAACTTGAAACCAATCTTGTTCTTTGGTTTTCAAGTTAAGTGGGGCCAGCTTACATGGGCCATTAAATATAGAGAATATCTCATCATCCATACACATAATTGAGGAAATCACCTCTACTCAATCAACCAACTTCTATGAACAACTATCACATCCTAGAAAAAAGAAGCTATAACCTAACTTTTCACTAGATGGATCTAATTTCACATATCACTCAACTGAGGCAGGTGGGGACAGTCTCACAGTAAAGCCTGGGGCTCTTGAAAGCATAGAGCATTAAAACCTATATTATGGCCTTTGTAAGGTAACCAGTCTGGTGTGTGAGGGAAGAGAAGGGGTGTGAATGGGGAGCCTCTGTCTGGGAGTTTAAGAAGGGACCCAAGTTAGATCAAAAATATGGGCAGCGCCCTAAAGTCTTTCTGGTTCCCAAAGCTGCCAAGCAGCGGAATAACCTGGTCATCCCACTTTATATGTGAGTCTTGTGCTCTCTCCTCAATAATGATAACAGTCTTGCCGATTACTCGTCACTAAGAGTACCCGGTTGTGGTGACATTGAGGCTGACCTTGGAGTCACCGCCCCCGCTGCCGCACTCTCCTTTGTCGTACCACCATTTGTTTTTCAATTTGTCCAAGAGGCCTTGCTCATTCAGTTTTAATACTGCCAGGTTAACAGCATTTCTTGAAACGATAAAACATAACTTGTAAGAAAATGCACAAATGCTTAGGAAATCGTTAACGTATAAAAAGGAGCACAAGAGGACAAATTGGCTAAATTTCACAGAACGTGGAGCTATAAAAATGTCTGTACAGCAAATACAGGGTTAAATATTGGAAGGTGGCATGGAGGATAACATTTGCTCAAAACTGAAGTGTGCGGGATGGGGAAATTGTCTTTCAGAAAAAAAGTAACAAGAACACCACATCCATGCAATTAACATTCGTCACATATGGCACCGTAACGTGGCTTTTACCATTTAAATTGAAAAAGCCGTTGAACTGTAAAATTAAAACAGCAACAAACAGTCAGAGAGGACAACACAGAGAGAGAATATTAAAAAAATGGATGCATTAAATAGATGAGACCATAATTTACCGTCTTATTTAACTCCATGGAATATTGTAGATTTTAAACTTTTAAAAGTTACCTCAAAATCCACAAGAAAGAAAATGACAACAAAATGCATCAGGGTAGGTGGAATACTATAACAACACGGATATTGTTATATTATTCCACCCACCTTAATGCTGAGCCTTTAGGGGTTGCCACACCGTAGCCTTTGGAATCCAGATTTCCACCAACTTTCATCGTATCACACGGTTTTCTCTGCTCAATGTACTCATTCATGGTTGACTCAAGCAGGAAGGCGAACTTTCCCTTGGACTTCCGCACTCGGGCCACCCCATCTGCTGTTGTTTTGGTAAACACAGATGGCTCTGCCGATTTCATGTAAGACCACATTTTCTCATACACAGCAATTTTAGATCTCTGCAACAAAGAGATAAGAATTCTTTGAACTGCCAGAATTAAAATCTGAAAGAGGACCTAGTGCAGTAGTTTTCAAACAGTTTTGATTGCAAGCTGTGGAGAGAAAAACATATAGTGTGCTATAACTAAGGAGACACATTCAGACCTGTGTCAACATGTTTCTAAAGCAGGTTTCTTAAAACCACATACACCCTTGCCATGTGATGATCTTGGATATTTTCTATTCTATTTTACTTTAAAAAATGCTGGTCATAACTGGGTATGGTGGGGCATTACTGTAATCCCAGCACACTGGGAGGCTGAGGCAAAAGGATCACAAGTTCAAATGCCTGGAAAATTTAGTAACTTAGTGAGACTCTTCTCAAAATAAAAAATAAAACAGGGCTGGGGATGTAGCTCAGTGACAAAACCTTGGGCTCAAATCTCCTGTAAAAAAAAGCTGGTCATGACCCACTGAATTTATTTCATGGCCTTTCTAATTGGTTAAAATCTGGTATGAAAAACACTTTCTTATTTCAATCTTCTTCTCAATGAAGAGATCTCTCCACACAATATTATGCCATGTGTTCTTCCTGTACTTGCCTAAAAAAAATCATTACAAGAATGTACACTCATTTTAGTCAACCCTTCTAGCATAGCACATAAATTATTGTAATAAAATATTTCCTTATTCTGAGCTGATTCTTGTCCATAACTCTCATCCTTTAGCACTATATGCTAGAGTTATACTAAGTAATTCTGTAGGTTCGTCTGCATGGTGATCCTTCAGACATTGTAAGGCTTTTATTATGTTCCCTCTTCAGCTTTTCATCATGTGAAACTCCATTGATTGATAATTTTTCTAGACTTCTCATAACTTTAATCTTTTGTTCATAGATTTATTCTAATTTGTGATGTTTCTTTTAAAGTGGAATGTCTAAAAATAGCATGGCACTCCCAGATGTATGACCACAACAGAGAGAAAATAAAACTACTTCTTGTTTTGGAACACTTATTTCTACCAGTGTTGCCTGATTTTGCTTTAATGTATTTAGTCATTCATCCATCCTTTCAACAAATATTTATTTAGCACCACTCTGGTGGAAGTGTAAATACTATATGAAGTGCGATTGAAAACTACAGTGAATGTTTAAATTAAAATTTATTGAAGTAAAAGACACATTGCCATTAACCCTCCTCAAAATATTCTCCCTCATTTTGAAAACACTTATATCATCATTCTTGCCATTTTCTGAAGTAGTTCTGGAAATCTTCTTTCATGAGTGTCTTTAGTTGCATTGTTGTGGCTGCTTCAGCATCCCAAATTGATTTAAAATGTCTCTTTTTCATGGTCATTTTGACTTTGGGGAAGATCCAGAAGTGGTATGGTGCCAGATCTGGTGAAAAGGTGGATGAGGATACCCAGTAATGCTTTTATGAGCCTGCCTTTCGGTTGGATGACATTTAACAGAAGTATTCACTGTATTTTTAATCACAATTTGTACAGACACTCACAAAAGAGGACTTCCAGAACTTTGTGAGAATTTCCAGAACTGTTTGAAAGTGGCAAAAATGATGCAGTGAGTATTTTGGGGGAGTATTTTGAAGGCTATTAGTGGCAATGTGTTTTTTACTGTAATAATACTTTTTAAGATTTAAACATTCACCATATATTTTCATCACTCCTTGTGATGGAGTCCTTTTTTTACCTCAGGTTGAGATTAGACCAAAACTTTTTGTTATTTCTACCAAGCCAAGTCTTCCTCATCTTTACCTTCTTGAATTAGATCTCGTTATATTTCATTTCAGTCCACATGGTCCTTAGAGCACATACTAAATGCTTTTTGTGTCCCTAGTTCTATGCTAGTCATTCTGCAGAATATAAAGGAAGAATAGTTACAATGACCCCGGAACTTCCAATTGAGTTAGGAGCTAGGTCCTTAGCAATTCAAACTCTAGAGAAAAATCCTAAGATGAGATTTGGCTACAAGTGAGATAGAATGGTAAAAATCACAATCATATACTATGTTTTTAAGTGTCCTTGTATGATATTTCCTAGTGCCTACCCTGGTTTGATTAATTAGTTGTTCTTCTCTAGACTTGCTGCACTGCTTCTTTCTTGCAGTCTCCTTGGGTCTGCCCAAATTATTCCAGGGGACTGGAACTCCCAGAGTTATCACCGTGGAGATTAAGCATTGTGTTTGTGGCAATCAGACACACACTGAGGCTCTCACTGAGTCACTGAAGCTGTAAACTGAGATGGGATATGAGGGGTTTTTTTTGGTACCGGGGATCGAACTTGGGTCCTTGCCCTTGCGTAGCAGGCGTCAAAACCACTGAGCTAAATCCCCCGCCCCAAGGGATATGAGTTTTTGCATAAAGTAAAGCAAAAAGAAGTCAGTATGGCTGAAGCTGAATGAATGATAGGACATAATCTTAGGAAGACAATCAGAAACCAGATTTGTAAGGCCCTGTAGGTGATGGTAAAGCATTGGTCTACACATCATAAGAAACTATTAAATGAATTTGAGGAGTGTGATAAGATCTGATCTATAATTTAAAAAAATTATGCCAACTTTTGTAATGAAAGTAGATTGTAAGGTGGGCCAGAGTGGAAGTAAGAAGATTAGTCTGGAGGCTGTTCTGATAAGGGACAGATGATTGTGGCTTGGGCTAGAGTGGAAGCAATGGAGGTAGAGAGGGGGTTGGATTCAAGAAACACTGTGGGAAAAAACAAACAAACCTTGCTGATGGACATTTCCAGTGGATGGCCCTATAGATATTTTCAAATTAAACAGATTTAAATCAAACTTATTATCTTCTTATAAAATGTGGCTTTCCTACATTCTACCACTAAACCACTGGCCATTCAAGCTGGAAGGTTTAGTATTACTCTGCCTTTCATGCCTCATTATGCTCTGTTCATTGTAATATAGAAATGCATGTAGAATTTATCGTTTCATCTTTCCATTCTCACCACCATTGCTCTCCCTCAGCCAAACTCTCCTAAGTTTTTGTCTGGACTCTTTCGCCTCCTGACTGGTCTCCTTGCTTAACTTCTTTTTGATTTGTCCTTCACCAATCCTTCCAAAATGTAAATCTTATCATACTACTTCCTTCTTTCAAATCCCCTGAGAATTCTCGAATACTTGCAGGACAAAATGCAAACTCTTATGTATGATAATCAAGAGTGCTTTATGATCTTGGCTACACTCTTTTATGATCCAACTCCCTCGGACTACTCACTATTCACTAAAAGTTAGCCATATTTTTTTGTTTCTTATGCCTTCCATTATACTTTTGCTTCTGCCTGAGTTACTTTATTCATCCTACAAGATCCAGAGCAAATTTCACATCTTCTGTGAATCTTTCTTAAGTCTCTCCTGCTTCCACAGAAGTGCTTCTTTAGTTGTTCTCCCAGAGCACTTTGCTAATAACCTTTGCTGTAGAGCTTACTCTATTGTACTAAGGTGGGTTGTAGGCTACATGTCTGTCTTTCCTTTGGTAGCTGAACATTTCTTGAGGACAAAGTCCATAACATATTTATTTTGGTAGCACTCTTAGTAGCCAGCATAATGCCTGATACATGGTAGCTACTAATGTTATGATTGCTTAATAATCGTAGTTTAGGTCTGATCAGGGTGACAACCAAATTGCTGATCAGAGATATCAGAAGCTTGGATGAAAATAATAGTCAGCACTAGCTTTATAGCACTGTAGAATCTTAGAGCTCATTATTTCCTGAAGATCATTAGGTTTAGTCTCCAGCTAAGCCAACCAGGATGCATGTTTTGCAGTTCTCTTTTAAAATGCTACTTAGCCTGCCTTTGATGCCCATACAAGTAACTTCCCCTATAATAATCCAAAATATCAATGTCCTTTAATATTGAAATCTCACCTACAGACATTTATACTCATACTATATATCATTCTTATCTGACACATAAAATAATTTCTGGGTATTATAATGAAATACAGTCAGTGACTTTATTATATTTCAATAGGAATTTCCTACAAAGTTGGCCAAATAATTGAGAAGTAAACAATTCATATGCACAGAAAGATTTAAAAATAATGTAAGAACACCTGCCAGAAAGCTTAATAAGTTAAACTTTATGAAGCCAGGTGAATTCTGCCTATCTGCTCCTCTCGAGTTGCATAGCTTTTCTTACTCACCAAAAGTAACCACAATTCTAATTTGGTTTTTATTATTCCCTTGCATGGCTCCATACTTTAACCAGAATAAACATATCTTCTTCATAATAGCTATGTACAGCAATTTAATCTGTGAATACATTATTTTTAATTTACTCAATCACCTTTTGAAGAACTCAGATTAGCTCTGTTTTCAGCATTATGGAAATATTTTAGTAGGAATGTTTTTTGCATTTGTACTTATAAAGAGGTATTTTGTATTCTTAATCTTAGCCTCATCAGAGCTGAGTACAAGGTAGGGTGGGGAGAAGGAGGTTTCAGACCAATTTGTTTGTTATACAATTTGCAAATAGACCATTGCTTCCAAAGATAAATTCATAAGCTAAGGATTAAGGGGTCCATGAATTCTGATCCATGTGCACTGTAATTTTGACTCATTTACTTCATCATTTACTCAAGCTCTTTGATTGTTGATACAGGTTAAAAGGTTTATTCCTTTAGATAATGATGCATTTCTAGGAGAAAAAATGGCAGTGCTTGAAGTGGGCACTTTAAAGGTGTGTGGTGTACAAGCAGCAGAAATTAATGAATACAGTAAATGACAAGCTAGTTAGTGGCAGAAATGATTGGGCTCTGGTTGATAGATTCTGAAGGAGGTTAGAAGAGGGAAAAGTAAATGGCTTATAAGTGAGAAAATTTAATCTGAAACATTTATCTTCCTAACTAGTATTTAAGTGACAGTATAACATTCAGACCAAAAAGAAGAAAAAGGTCACTAGAATTTTCTCTTTTTTCAGTCTGTCTTATTTTGGCTGAAATACCAAAGGCAAAAAAATGGACTGAATCTCAGCTCAATCATCTGGGAG